CCACTAAGACTACCAAACTAAAAAAGCATTTCCCGCTTCCAAACCATAACGAATGGCTGGCCAACTAATGGAATACTTCCGGTTTTCAAAGTCTTAAGCTCCCCACCCGCATGCCAGATGCTGTGCGTATTTAATTGTAAACACAAATCTTAACGAAATTAATTTTAAAGTGAATTTCTGGAGACCTCCGCGATGGAGCGCTTATGAAAATGAATGTCAGGTCCGGTTTTCCAGTCGCCCCACGAAAGCCACAAAACCCGAATTGACAGGCGGAAGTGAGCCACAGCTATATTACTCCATCCCCAGCGGAAACTGCAGCTTTACGAGTTGGTAGACGAACAAATAGCTCGGCTTATACATTTTTAATTTTCCATTTTCCTTCAAAACGGTTTCCAAATCAATGGGCCCAGTCCCAGAGTACCGTAGTGCATGCCCCTTGCTTGAAACTGCAACCGCAGCACGTTCGTATACCTCAAATACCTATAGCTATACCTTTGGCCATACCCACCTGCTTCGCAGAACCCACGACAGGTGGCGCTCTTCCTGTTGCCAGTCTCGTCGGGGTCGTAAAAATTGAGCTATTAAATAATTTCTGTCACACAAATTTGCTTTTATTGTTTATTTCCGTTTTCGGTGCCCCGGTACCAGGTGCCGCCCCCTTTTTTTGGGGAACTTGGCCCCCCCGAGTGTCTTCGTTTTCCTGGTCTCCCCAACTAATTAGCATTATTATGCACAATTCTACATATTTACTTGACTGGTGTTTGTTGTGCCATTAGTCCGACAAGCGCATTTTCCACTTAAAAGTTGCGCTGGCATTTTGTCTTCATTTTTGTCACTTTGTGGCTTGTTTGTCGTCTTTGGGGCGTGTGTGTCTGACTCATCCCGAACTGCGACTTTGATCTCTGTTGTCTTTGCCATTCTGGCCTCTTTGATGTCTGTTTGGAACAATAAAATCTCGGGTTGCCGCAAAACTTTTCCGCAATTTGCGGTGGCGTGGCGTCTTTCAGGGAAATGCCATTAAAACCCAGGGCGGCCAATAGTTTTTCCCCTGGCATGCAGCACGCAACAAGTGTCAACTCGAAATTCCTAGATGGTGGCGGCTTTTCCCTTTAACTTTTCACCATTATATGATGACAATAAATCCAAATAGAAGGAGATACACGGAGTCGGAGTCGGACCAACTGTCAGTCCATATAATTGACAAGCTGTTGCGATCCAGCCATCCAACCTTCCACCTTTCCGACTGTTTGTTTGCACGGCTTTTTTCTCACCCTAGTTATGCCAGTTCCGGGCCAATCCCAAAACCCATCTGTTATCAGGAACCGGGTGACGAAGAAAAAACAAAAAAGGCACCGAATAAATAACTGGCACAAATCGTTGGCCCCGCGCAAATATGATTTTTAAATATTTATGTTTCAATGAAATGAAAATTGCAGGCGAACAGACGTTGTTTGCGATATTTTTGCACTCATGCCGCCGCCTCTTGTTCACGTTCCATAAACAAATAATCGGAATCTGGATAGTGTGCACCAGTTGTGACATATTGACCCGCCACGCCCCCATCACCGCCCCCCAGTATCAACTGCTCTTCGAAGTTTTTTGTTTCATTATTTGTTGGAATCTCCAGAGCCGCATTTCGAAAGTGTGTCAATAATTGCAATGACAAACAAAGGTGGCACCAGTTGCTGGATTGAGTGGGAAAAATATTCAAAGAAGTGTATGAATAATATTGATGCATTTTTATAGGGTTATAGGTCAAGAAGCATTTTCTCTTTTAATTAATTATATGAAAACTTAAGGAGCTGATGTTATAAATAATCGAAATAATGATGTATTTATAACTAAAGACTCAATCTATCTTAATCAGTTGATATTAAACCATAATAAAACAAAATCTTTAATCTAATCAGATCCTAACTTATTTAACACCCTGATATAACTGCAGCTCGTTATATTTCCACCATAAGCCCTTAAATTAACCGGATTTATTGCCTGCAAACCTCTGTAGAATTCAATTTACATCCAATATAAAGCCAATCAAGATGCGTTTTAAATTTTTCCCAACTTCCTGCAACCACGAGCAAAGCCGCGGTCGATTCAAGAGTATTACAATTTTGGTTTAAACGCATTTCCGCTGATATGCACTGTGTGCATTTATGCGCCAGCAATAACAACAACATATTATGTATGAATAAACAGCAGAGAACTTAAACAAACCGTTGGGTTTTTGGGGCTCGACAGTCGCCATATTCGATGCCCGATTTTGATTTCGATTTTCCCTTTTTTCGATGCGACAACGCATTGATTACGGGCGCACGTCTGTCTACCACTCGATGTGGAGTTTATATACAGAAATATAGGTATATGTGGCACCATTAGGGCTGCCTGCCTACCCTGACCATATAACTATAACTGGGTTTCCTCCGGATAAGATCGCGTACATAACTCATTACTGCACGGGCGATATGATAGACGACACTCTGGCTGTTCCTTTTTTCAGTTTCAGTTTCTGTTTTCAGAGTGCCAAGAGCCCGAAAGTAGGGGGGGGATTCATTCGAGAAATACTGAAATCAGTTTCACTGCAACTGCAATGGGCTTTAATTATACTCTATGCCTAACTGGGAGTGAACTACTTTATTGGAACCTTACTATGTGAAATTGTCTCTATATGGAAAACATTTTGATACATTTATTTATCAGACATTACATAAATGATGTAGTATAGTAGTAATGATGATCTTATCCCCCCAAACAATGGACTGTTTTTTAAACGACATTCATAAATACAACACTAGAATGTTTTTTAACCGTCATTCGAAAAAACAACCCTTAGAACTCCCAAAGATTTAAAATATATCAACCATAACAATATATATCTCAATTACTTTTATATTATAGTACAATTTAGTACGTAGTATTTACAGTACATATAACTATTTTAAAAAGATCAGATATTTATTTTTCGCACATAGCGGTATGATAACAGTCTTAAGTAAATATGTGGCCTTCGAGGGTTAAGGTATTTATAATTTTCAAAGTAGATATCGATACCCATCCCCGGCTTTATCTATACCTGCGAGGGTATTTCACACGTCGTCTATTTAAACACTGGGTCTTTCGAATATCTGTTATTGTTGTTCTTGGACGTCGTTGGTTGCCGGCTGACTGATAATATGATTCGTGCCCACTGTCGATATGAGAAGGGATGGGGATTGAAAGTTGGAGGGAACTGCCACATCGACTTGAATGCAATCCGCCCCCCAACCGCTCCGATTGTTTTTCCATCGAATCGCCGTTGTTTTTTCCTCAGTGCAGTTGTTTGCTTTGTCGCACAGAGAGAAACGCACGCGTTAAGCACACAATTATGCAGACAGTCAGGCATTCGGCATTTGCCGTGGTCGATCGAGGTCCGCACTACGGACAGCTCCATTTTACACACCAAAATTAGATAAACAAACAGAGACCCAAATTCAATAAACAAACACACAATACTTTGATTGCACTGCAGATAGTCACTCGAGTGGGAAGACGATACAGAGATACAGATAGTGGGTCTTGTCCCCATCACTTTTGGATGCATCCATGGCTGTTGCATGACTTCGGTTTGTCCGCAGGGCAAATATGACTCAATTTGCCTCGGCCAAGAAAACCGAATTGAGAAAACTTGTAACCTCCTGCTAATATGCAAAATCAATAGCTCCCCTGGGGCGAATGCGGAGTGGGAATTTTCCCAGAGCTTGGCTACCGTTTTGAAATTGGGGTGGGCAGATCAGCCACCGCACTTTAATGCATAATTTAAGTAATTTAAAATGCAATATTAGCAAATGACAAAAAGCAATTAGCCAGCCTTACAAATCAAGCAAACAAATGTATGGTACTGTGAGGTATGAGGTATGTACTTTTACATATGAAGTGCTGCTGTCTATGAAGGTTTTTGGAAAATGATTCCAGCAATTAGTATTATTTCGGTATGGATAATTTATTACTCTTAAAAATGTGATTAAAAATTCATGCTTCGCATATGACAAATACATTTAAGAAGTTCTTATGTCTTTTTACTTGGAAGGGAAATCACTGTGAATTGAAAGTCGATGGCATAGCTGCCCTCAAGGCAATTATATGTTATCTAAAAAAAAAGTGTGTTCTCAATTATAAAAAGAAATAAAATACATCTAAGAGGAATCCTAGTGTTGAATACTTAGAAGTTTCCCTAACAGATTTAAATGATTTTATTACTATGCATTAAAGTTAATGTAATTGCTATTTCATGAGTAATGATTCTGCCTTAAAGTTAATATAATTGCTATTTCATTAAATAACTTTCAATCTATTTATGGCACAAAGTAATAAGACTGCTTTTCTAGGGGAAAACTGATAAACTGCACTTAGCTATCATAAGTATGTAGACACATTAGTACATTAAGAAATTCTATCTACGCCAGAGTGTTATTTTATTGAACGACTTTACCCCGAACCCAGTGTAATTGCTGCAAGTGATTATTGCCGACGATGCCAATATTCTCTGAATATGCAAATCTGTGGCAATTGCCTTGGCTTTAGAATTTTGTGTCAATGCAATCGTAATAAAACGCAATAATATCGGCTGCATTACAAATCAATTTCTGGCCAGGCCCAAACACAACGGATACGCCTGTGAGTTTGTGTGTGTGGAGCACTTGGATCCAATTGCCTTTTTGGTAAGAGCGCCCTCTTCATGGGTGGGCTTTAAGTGGGCGGCAAATATCCTAAACGATAAATATTTAAAAGGCTGTCGAGCGAGGAGCAAAGTTCTGGCTATGGCTTTGGCTTAGGCGGATCAGGCCGGCCCCCATTTCCACTTGGATGCAACTGTAGTTGCAAGCCAGTTTCCATTCCGTTCCGGGCTTTCTGTGTGCAATTTAGATAAGTATTATGACATATTTGACACTCTTTCACTTTGCCAAACGGACAGCCAACGATTCTGTGATTATTTACTCGAAATGAAACTGCAATGAAGTTGCCAGAGATGCAGACCCAGGGCATTGGGGATGGTAGATGGTCTATTCTAGATGGTATAGGTTATAAAAAATCAATGAAATGCAATTACCGAGAATGCCTTCCCAGACGATACTCACTTATATTATAATAACATTTGTTGTTATTGTCGGTTGTATTGATAAAAAGAAGGGCGTGGGTCGTGCGTGTATACATATAAATGTATGTCTATCACAAGCGTTATTTGTCGTTGTCGCCTAAGCCATAAGCATAACTGATAAGCTGCAATTACCTGCATTGATAATTTCGAATGTATTTCCATATAATGCATACAAACCTCAACAGTAATAATCGTAATACTGCGCCATAAAGGCCAAATGACAACCCAGGTTCTGTTCCATCTGTCCCAGACCCCTCCATCGGTCCCCACTTCTCCGCCACCAACTCCAGTTCCAACTCCTCCGAGGGCCCCGGGCACACCCATAATTGAATAGCTCGGCGACGTGTGTGAGATTGCGGGTGTTTGGGATTCGGATTCGGATTGCTTTTGGTTCGGCTTGGTGTGATTGCATTTTCCAGTCCCTCAGATTTAACTCTCCAGGTTGCTTGAAACCGGAACGAGTACGAATACGTGTGATTGTTTTGTGGTAATACTCACGATCTTCTTTAGGAGAATAGGACACATTCTGGTAAGCACCTTAAAGCCTTAACTACCATCAATTAAATCCAAAGATCGTAGTGCCTTTCGTATTTTGTTAAATATTAAAATACAATTATTTAAGTATTTGTAAGCAACCAAGTATCAAAATTGGTTTATAAATGCATTTATACAACTAATTTAAGAATACTTATATTACCTTAGATTTGACATAGTACCTTAAGAGTGAAAATCTAGCTAAAATCCGCAGCATATTTTTATAAAACCTCCAATATTACCTCCCAAACTATTCATCTGCTCTAACTTCTAATGCATTTCCTATCAGCTTGGCTTCAAGTATTTTTTCAGTAGCTCATATCAGCCGAAACACAACTTCAATTTCCCTCTTACACGCTTTCCACCCAAAATACTGTTCATTGATAATACTTCCAGTGAAATTACAGCTCTCTTGCATTCTTATCAGCGCTGTGGCAATCAAAAACTGCCTTCGAGTGTTAAGAATTATTAATAATAAATTACAAATTATTACTGGGAGCCCCAGGTTTTTCTCGATGCCTCGGCCAACGCTAATGAAATTTCAATTAGCTTGTCGTGTCGTGAAGGAAGTGCCTGTCGAATCGAGTGGGGCATGCAGCTTTAATCAGTGAGTGCCAGTGCGCCTGGTTGGCAGCACATCTTATGAAATCTTAACCCATTTTATATTGACAAGTGTAATTATGCGCACGACACAATTGTCATGTTGAATATTGTCAAACAATTGTTAAAGCCACAGCATAGTTATGCAACTTAGGGCCAACCGACGCCCACGTGCATCCACCTGCAGTCACGTTGCAGTTTGTCATCCTTTTGGAAATAAAGGAACTCTGGGCGGGGGACTCCGAGAGCCATTCTAATGACAGGGGCTACGTGTCGGTGTTGCTGGCCGGTTGGTGGTCCGTTTTGGTCAATTAGTGCTCGGAGACCTCTCTTTTTCCCCATTCACATCCATCCACAATGAGGCACTTGTGCAATAGTTTGAATATCTTATGGATGCATACATAATTTATGACATGTTTCATATTGGAACACCCTGGCACAAGCTGCCAAAGGGAATATGGTTCCTTGATGCAGGAAGGATAGGAAGATACAGACCTTTTCCTGATCAAGATAAGCTAGGGTACCAAATAGAAAAGGTTGCAGTCAGGCAAAGGTTAAGGTATGTCAATTACCAATGTATAGTAATGCAATGTAAACGCTAAAGTAGCGTGTTCTCTTGATGTGATATTTGCATATCACCAAGGACTCTACTCAGAATTATGAAAATGAATTGTTTATTTAACATCGAACAGTTGTATTTTTTGTGTCTTTGGATCCTTTTTGATAGCTGGCCGATAGCAGGAACAGTTTCTTCAGCATTTCAGTCATGGCAAAAAACTGGAAAATTTCCGAAAAATAGAGTCTGGCGGATACACAGGTCATTTCCTTGTTCACATGGAAGTTGGTCTCACGCAGGAAAAGTTTCGAGAAAAGGGCCTTATTGAATTCCTGCATATTAACGCTCCAGGGAAAGTTGGCAGCGAAAACGAGGCGTAAGTGCAGGAGGGATCTACCTTGAAATTCATCTTCCATCATTTTCCCACTTCTTCCGGTCATAATCATCAACGTGCCATTGGCCGATGTCGCTTTTGAAGACGGTTTTAGGTTTCGTAGGACGTCTGAGGATCCAGATCTTTTGGAAGAACTGCTCCTTGACGAACTGGTTATTGCTCCGCCGACTTGAGACCATACTGTTCTTTTCACTTGGAGGCGAGTCTTTTTGCTTGTGGATCCTTGTTTACCGTCATGTCTTGGTAATCGATATCGTCGAAGTCTTCGAGGCGAACTGTGGAGCTATTCTGCCACTCATTCTCCGGGGCACTCTGAGCACTCCTTCGCCCGACACGATTAGTGTGCAGGGTGTCATATTGAATTCCGGCAACCAGAGGAACTCTGAACCCATCCAATTAAATCCAGCGAGGAGCTTATGCCACCAACAAGTTCATCTAGGGTTCCTAAGGCCCGACGATTACTCATCCAGAGCAAGTAGAACCTCGCAAAGTTGATGATGTGGAGACAAAGCTCGAAAAACGAGTGCACAATGAAATGGACCTGGAAACTTCTGGAGACTTCTGCTGTAGAGCCAGATAAAGAAATGCAACTGAACGATCCTAGACCAGCAGACACTCTGATGCCCGACATTCCTTAACATTGTGGCTTCATCTGTTCCTTGGGCAGCTCACTTTCAAGGCCAAGGATTCTTGGTTTTGCGAATGTTGGCTTGGGACAATTCCGCCACGACCCAAAGATGAGTGAGAGCTTCAGGAGTGGATACAGCAATGCAGTAAGACCGTCTCCCAGAAACTGCTGCTCCCGGCAACTGCTTCTGGGAGATGGGCTTACTACATTGCTGTAGCCACTAGTGAATCCCTGACTCTTCTTAGGGCTTTGGCAGGATTGATGCCAAACCATCATCTGCAGAGCCAGAACCGTTGGCTTTGAAAGCGAGATAGCCAAGGAGCTGATGAGCCCCAATGTTCGGGAATGCCCAGAATCTGAGTATCTGGTGGTCTACGCTCGTTCATTTGCATTTCTTCAACTGGCTCTACAGCCAAAGTCTCCAGAAGTTTCCAGAAACACTTCATCGTGCACACGTTTTCCGAACTCCGGCTCCACAGCATCAACTTTGCGAAGTTCTACTTGTTCTAGGTTGGTAAACGTCGGGCTTTAAGTACCCTAGATAAACTTGGGGGTCGCATAAGATCCTCGTCGGATCTAAGTGGATGGATTCAGAGCTCCCCTGGTTGGCAAAATTCAAAAAGACGCCCTGCAGACAAAACTTACCGGGCGACGGTTCTAGGATCGGAGCACTGAAATGCTTTTAATGAAATGGCTTGCTTTTTTCGCCTAATTTACTAAAGATGGCTTACCAGGACGGAGGGAGTTCGGACAAATGTGTCTGATTTTTGGGCTTCATTTATTTCTAAATCTTCTACAGGCATTTGGGCTCTAAATAGAAGAAAACACATTTTAGTGTACGGAAAACATTTTAGCAGCTCAGCTATACAAGAAATTATTTGTTCCGTTCCTACCTGTCAAAAAACTTGGAGTTCCGTCTGCGCTTTTTCTGACCCTTCGTGGTCGTCATAATCTTGGGGCTTTTTGAGGGCTCCTCACCACCATCCGAAAGAATCTTCTGGAGCATTTCGTTGCTAAACAAGAGGTCTTACCTGTTTCGACGGAGTAAACAATTCGACTTTCGACGGGCTTGGCATCGTGCGAGTAAAAATAATTTATGCCGGGCAAGTGCGCACAGTCTGAAATCAATTTAACTAATGTCAAATGTCGTACTGAATTGTCGGATGTCAAATTTTTTCACAACTCAACCCGCTTGCTGCGTTTGCAATTCTCGCTCGATAAAACCAATCTGCTGGAAACAGAGTTGTCACCCTATATTCCTTAAAAGCCATGGCAACTCAGTAAGATTTAAGTATTAATATTGTTAGCATATTAAGTATTTAAAATTAATTCAGATGAAGACGGCCTGCAGAAAAACTGGCCAGGCGACGGTTCTAAGATTGGAGCACTGAAATGCTTTTAATGAAATGGCTTGCTTTTTTCGCCTAATTTACTAAAGATGGCTTACCAGGACGGAAAGAGTTCGGACAAAGGTGTCTGATTTTAAGGCTTCATTTATTTCTGAGTCTTCTACAGGCATTTGGGCCCTAAATAAAAGAAAACACATTTTAGTGTACGGAAAACATTTTAGCAGCTCAGCTATACAAGAAATTATTTGTTCCGTTCCTACCTGTCAAAAAACTTGGAATTCCGTCTGCGCTTTTTCTAACCCTTCGTGGTCGTCATAATCTTGGGGATTTTTGAGGGCTCTTCACCACCATCCGAAAGAATCTTCTGGATCATTTCGTTTCTAAGCAAGAGATTCGTGAATTCCGTGTCCTCTTCGTCAGAAGAATCGGAGGCAGGTCTTACCTGTTTCGACGGAGTAAACTATTCGACTTTCGACGGGCTTGGCATCGTGCGAGTAAAAATAATTTATGCCGGGCAAGTGCGCACAGTCTGAAATCAATTTAACTAATGTCAAATGTCGTACTGAATTGTCGGATGTCAAATTTTTTCACAACTCAACCCGCTTGCTGCGTTTGCAATTCTCGCTCGATAAAACCAATCTGCTGGAAACAGAGTTGTCACCCTATATTCCTTAAAAGCCATGGCAACTCAGTAACATTTAAGTATTAATATTATTAACATATTAAGTATTTAAAATTAATTCAGATGAAGACGGCCTGCAGACAAAACTTGACGGGCGACGGTTCTAAGATTGGAGCACTGAAATGCTTTTAATGAAATGGCTTGCATTTTTCGCCTTATTTACTAAAGATGGCTTACCAGGACGGAAGGAGTTCGGACAAAGGTGTCTGATTTTAAGTCTTCATTTCTTCCTGAATCTTCTACAGGCATTTGGGCACTGAATCGAAGAAAGCCCATTTTAATGTACGGAAAACATTTTAGCAGCTCAGCTATAAATTAAATTATTTGTTCCGTTCCTACCTGTCAAAAAAATTGGAATTCCGTCTGCGCTTTTTCTGACCCTTCGTGGTCGTCACATTCTTGGGGCTTTTTAAGGGCTCTTCACCGTCATCCGAAAGGATCTTCTAGAGCATTTCGTTGCTGAACAAGAGATTCGTGAATTCCGTGTCCTCTTCGTCAGAAGAATCGGAGGCAGGTCTTACCTGTTTCGACGGAGTAAACAATTCGACTTTCGACGGACTTGGGATCGCGCGAGGAAAAATAATTTATGCAGGACAAGTGTTCACAGTCTGAAATCAATTTTATTAATGTCAAATATCTTACTAAATTTTCAGACGTCAAATTTTTTCACAAATCAATCGGGTTGCTGGGATTACAATTTTCGTTCGATAAAACCTATCTGCTGAAAACCAGAGTTGTCACCCAATTTCCCTAAAAGGGCATGGCAACTCTGAAATATTTTATCGGCCGTAAGAAATATTTATTTTAAAAACATTTTAGAAAATATTTTTCAGGTCCTTTTACTTTGTACAACATTTTCGGAATTTACTTTTATTTAAAATTACAATATTACCTGATGGTGATTACAGGCCGAGGCGATCCGTGTTAACGCCGTGATCTCGGAAACAATAGGAGGATATCAGATTCAGGTTCCTTAGCTTCTGATTCAGCGCAAATGTATTATAAGAATGTGCCACGCCCAGTCTAAAGCCCACTAACGGAAAAGTCTGTCTAGCGCCCACATTTTTAAAGACAATGTAAAGTGTAAATGGGACTTTGTTTCGATTTTCAATATCTACAAATTTTTGAAATCGGACCATTCATTGATAGGTTGTGACCAAATATTGTAATCGCCGCTAGGTGGCGCCCTGCATTCTCGGAAAAAGCCGCATTGGTGCTTGCATATCTTGGCTAAGTAACGGGTATCTAATAGTCGGGGACCTGGACTGGTAACTTATTTCTTGTTATATTTTTCAAATTCAGAGTGTTTAATATTCCATGCCAAGCAATATCCCCTTTATTTATGTTTACCCATATGACTCTGGCTTGGAATTGCTGCTTACAATTTTAGTCATTGATTGCTCAGGTCCACGATGGTTCGTTAGAAAAATTATTTATGACTGTGTGCAGTGGTATTTGAAAATTCAAGCACACGCACATCCAGTGGATATTTTGTTTTTACCAACACTCGTGCGTCATTCTCATCGTCTTTTTGCCTAATTGGAATTCATCGGCATTTGCATATTGTTTTGTTGGCCCAAGCACTTGGCTCCTTCTCCGCATTTGTAACTGTAGTTTCGTTTTGGAGTGCCTAGAAAGGTTCTGCTTAATTGTGGCCCCGTCCGGAGGCCCGACTTAATCATAAGACGAGCGATCCGGGCCCACGGTCTCTAGTCTCCAGTTTCCACCTTCCAGTTCTCGAGGCACAGTCATAGGCAGTCAACACATTATAAGGGTCTGCTGCCCCAATCAAGCGTGCGCGTGAGTCCCATCTTTTTGCGGTGGCTAACTGAATTCAATTACCAAAGTGCCTACTATATGCAAATAAGCCAGGAGTGCACTTGACAAACGCACACACACACACACATGCTTGGCGGAGATGCGCAGATACGGATGCCGAGATACAGATACAGTGGCTCAGATCGGAGTCGACCAACCGACCGACCCCAACAAATAAGTCGAGTTGTTGCACTCGAGCTACCGGCACTTGCCTTCCTACCATGTGAAAAGTCAGCCGTGCAGATAAAAACCTTAATATAAGCATAATTATGTTGATGATTTGTACAAAAAGGGGAGAGATGATAAACACAAGTGGCCCCACTGCTCTCTTCTCTTCGCTCGGGGTATCGCCTTGCGGTCGCCATATAAGAGTGGGTCCCACACAGTGGCCACTCACTATGAGGGACCGGGGAATAGATAACTATATTGTAAAAAAATAATATTAAAGATGATAACTTAAAAAATCGCTATGAGGGACAGTGGAATAGGTAACTGTATTGTACAGAAAGAATATTACGTGATGATGCTTTTCGTAATTCTTATTATTTCCAAAGTATCTTAAAATGAGATATTCAAATTTCATAATTATGATATCTATATATAATGCGCGCATCCAAGGGAGGTATATGGGGGATAGATCCCCCTACTCGGGGAAAGAATTATATGTAAAACGTATTTTATTCCAAATTTGTTATTTCTACACAACAAGTTTTTGTATATCCCCTTACAATTAAATTCTGGATCAGCCACTGCTATATACAATATATTGATAGGACAAAAGGTCAAAATAGTAGGTTCTATTATATTCAAAATTTATCAATAAAGCAGACAAACTAAAAATGTTTCAAAAACAAATAAGATTTCTATAAGACTATAAATAAAGAAAATACATGAAGATTGTTAGTATTTTTTTTTATGGAACTAGGATCTTCAAAGAAAAGATATAAATATTCTTAATTTGTGTCTTTTTACAGTTTTGCTTTCTTATCTTAGTACTGAAATTATTATATTTAAGTTGATAGTACTCTATGCTTTAGATCAGTATTTGATACCACTATATATTGAGCTTTAGAAAATGTTACCTCAACGATTTCTCATCCTAAGCTCAACATTTTGGCAAAAACAACTTAAAAATACCAGTACCATCCGTTTTTTTCCAGGCTTGTCTGTACCACCACTTGAGGCTCCATCAGCCAGATGGAGCCAGAAGCTTTTTGCTGCCTGTTGCCGCGGCTGTGGGACTGCCAAAAAATGTGTCGATGACGTCGCACCAAGTTCAATGACTATCTCTTAATGGCGTTTCCTTTGGCAGAACCTCAACTGCTCGATGGCCCCCGCAGCATTGCATAACAATTAGCCTGGGCTGGGAAATGTGCTCGTTGTTGATTGTGCCAAGTCAATCGAAATGAGGCACAAATAATAATTCACATTGGGGCCGAATTCTCGAATTGATGTCTTCATTAGGCCTTTCGGGTGAAACTGTCGCACAGAACTGTCGATGACACATTTGGAAGTCCAAATCGGGCTGCACCCCTTTTTTGGGAAACATTCTACACTGTATCTACGCTAAATTTATGCCTAATGAGCGTAGCATTCGGTTTGATAACTCATTTGTTTCCACACTTCTTATAAACGAATCGAGGCTAAATTGGTTCCACATGATGTTCAGCTACCGATGATGAAACTCGGTTCTATCTTCGATTTCGGAGAGATGTTTTGGGGTAAGGTTGGCTGTCGGTCTACGCAGCAGCTGTGTGCCAATCACAAAGCCAAAAGGCAAGAACCCGTCCATAAATAACTTATGCCCGATTCTCTCTGCTTTTTGCCTTTTTGCGCAAATATCTCCATGCCGGGCAGGCAGCCATACATATAAGATGGAAAACTAAAATCAAAAGAAACAGAAGCAGCAGCAGCAGCAGCAATTCAAACGAAAACAAGGCGAAAAAAATTAAGAAATTCTCTGGCACACACTTTGGAGTTTATCATTGTAATGCAAATGAAGGAAGTGCGCGAGACTGCCTCCGACGCTTCCCCACCGCCCCACCTGCCCACCTGGCCCCTTTCACCAGCCCACCTTTGCCATTCTGTAGAATTCGAGGTGAGGCTGTGGAGCGGCAACAACACATCGCCAGCAACGGCAACAAACACAGCGGCTACATTGTGATGCCGTGGGAAATGCGAAAGCGGCACACGATTTGCTGAATGTCACACTAAGAGAAACGTTTTTGATATTTGAAAAAAGTCTAACTTAGTGATAAGCTTGGAAAAATATCAATATCAAATTTAAGAACTGGGAGAAGTCAAAAACTAAGTATTTATAAAGAAAAATATGAAACCATTTAAAATATTAAAAATATTAAATAATAAACAATCTTAAAATACAACAAATCGTAAGATTTCCTTTAAAAATGGTAAATTTTTCATATCTAAGGCTTTTTATACGTACTTATTAGAGCTTAATAATTGAATTTGTTCTGAAAATGTATCTAAAATGTACTAATATACTGAAATGCTGACGAATATGGGTATAGGAGATACATTCGTTCGATAAAAAAAAATTTCACCTAATTGAGCATTGAATTTTAACTTATTTTATCGTTGGTTTTGAAAAGATACTAAATATTTGAAAACTTAAATTATTTATTTTTAAGTTTTCAAGACTAAAATTCGCAATTGCGAGACTTTTGACTACATTTATTTATTTTGTTATCCATTTCTCCCAGTGCACTGGCGTATTCATCGATGGTGGGGCAAAAGTGGTGCAAGGTGGGGCAGGATGGATGCTCTTACTGTTGCAGCAGTCAGTTTGTCAGTGCGTCAGTCAGCCACTCTCTCAGCCAGTCAGCGAATGTGATTGCACAAGAATGGCAGCGAAAAAGTTATGAATATGAATAAATAATTTTACGCAGATTGCCACGGCTAAGATAAAATATGCTCGCTTCAAAATGCAGGGATATACAAGTACAAGTACAAGTTCCAGTACAAGTGGGTAAACCCCCACATCAACTCCTCGATACTTTCTTTGGCAATCAGTGTCAACGTAACACAAGTATTTTTCGAGGGGAAGCTCGATGTGTCTTGTAAAAGTTCCAAAGTGATTGAAAACAAAAGTTTTCCTGATTTTGAAGGGGGTGCGATAAACACACTTAACAAGAAACCAGATCGTATTAAGTAGAGTTATGACCTCATTTTATGTGGAGGCATCTTAAAGTTCTAGCGATGGTAAAGAAATTGAAATGATATTTTCCAAGCAGTGACGGATCCAGAGTAAAAAAAAATTGTTAATTTAGAGTAGAAATAAAAACAATGGTACAAAAAACATATTACATATACTTTTTTACCCGAGTGGGGGATCTATTCTCTATATCTCTAAAGATCTGAAGATCGTTTTTTATTGCATTGTGACCAAATTTTTAAATCCATTACTATTTTGATATATTAAACAAATATTTTTAAGATATTATATACCCGTCGAAAATTAAATAGATAGTATCTAATAGATACTAATAGCCACCTAATATGTAGATTGTATTCAGTGAATGGCGAAATATTACTATTTGCGTTGAGCATTCACCACTTCACTTAATCAATATAAAGGACCAGTTGGACTGTTTCCTTTCTGGTTTCTCAAGGACTCGGGCGTCGCACAACGAAATAGTTAAATATTCGAGTTCGCGAGAACCGCATGCATAAACAGCCGACTGCAGACAATAGTTTCGCCCCACTCTGCAGCATTGCGGCCCAATTTGGCCTGGTCAGGACGGAGCTGGGCCAGATTGACCGAGGGCCC